GTCTTAAACTTGCATTTTTAAAATTTCCTATGTAGATTTCATTAGGAGAACCTAAAGAATAATGCTAATATGCAATTATTGCACTATACTGTATCCTCACTATTTTCTCAGCTGTTCCCTAATTAATATCCTTGACAAGCATTTAAGAAATATTTTAATTCTAATGTGATGTTTCATCATATAATTGTACAACAATGTATTCTGTGTCTGATAGGAGAAGAAGACTTTGTAGTGAACTCTAAAGAGATTGCCTTCCCATTCCAGCTAATTGGATACATCTCCATGAAAGCTGTAACTAGATTTGTCAAACTGCAACCTTTATTCTCCCATTTGATTACTTTAGTGTTCTTATAGAAAAATAGGGAATCTGAGCAATTAGTAAAGGAATCAGAAGACTACCACTGATTGGAAAACAAGAAGTATATTCAGACCAATTTGGCCATTTTTAAGGCTGTATGATCACTTAAAATCCTTACATTGCTGCAATTATGTAAAAAAAACCCCCAACATACTTCATAAGAAGGGAAATTTGGGTCAAGATTCAAACCCAAATGCATAAAAAGCAAACACTAGTTCAGAATGCACCAAGAAACAGTATTCATGTTGTTGCCACAATATAATTGTTCATACCTGTCTTTGTTTCCTTCCCATCAGCATCCTGTAGACTATGTTGTATGTATGGCTTATACAGAAAACATTCCTTCACTTTCTGCAGCCAAAATTTAGGGACTGTGATGCCTTATCGGATTTGTGGTCTCAGCAACCCACAGTATTGCTCTTAAAAGAGCTTGCCAAGTACTTATCAAAACTGAGTTTCTTACTGGCTCAAAAATTAATTCCTCTCTGGTTTCTGTGATTTCTGAAGCAAGAAACAATGCTGTCAATGAGATGAAACATTAGTAAACAGTAAAAATATGTCCATTTTGGCTGAATATTGCATGCAACAAAATTTATAGTATTTTTCCTAAGTAAAAAACTAAGTGCTAATAACTTTAATACAGAAAATTCTGTATATTTGAAATTTAGGGTTTTTGGTTTTATTTGCTGCATATATAGAATCCTATTTTAATGCAATTAGAAGTTGCAGTGTTATTTGTGGGATCTTTCATAATAATTTGTCTAAATATATAGTTATATGACTATATGGATTATATATATTATAAAAGTTGTTGAATCTGTTTAATTCAGATATATTGTGTTATGGGAAAAAGTTTTATTTCCCATTTGTCTCTTCACTCCTTAATTAAGTATTAAAAAATAAAGATTCTGTATGTGATTATGTAGGTGTATATAGGAATAAGACAGACCTAGTATTTCATGGGCTTTTTGTTTGTTTCAGGGATCTTTCAAATAACAGAATTGGTTGCCTAACACCAGAAATGTTTGTTGGACTTAACAATCTTCATAAACTGTGAGTATAAGATCACTGTTGTTTTAAACAGAAGAAATCTAAACTGTCACATGGCTGACCGAACACAGTTGACAATAAAGTTTCATTAAAGAAAGTTATAGGCTTTGTACTAAAAAACCTCTCTCCCAGGTCTTTGATTGGGAATTGATACTTTAAAGATTTTTTCTCTAGTTTAATTGTAGTATCTGTCAGAACGGCAAAGAATTAAATTTCATTTTTGCACTGAAAAGTCTGCACATGATATTTCTGTCTGAATGCATTTCTGTTTGCATGTCTCAGAAACAATTAAAGATCAAGCACACAAATGAGGCTTATACTGCTTTAAAATTGTATGTTTCTTATTCTATCCATTTCAGATCAATTAGCATTTAATAACTTGTTTTGTCCTTGAAATGCATTGCATGAAAAGTAAACATATACTGAGGAAAAAAGAAAAGAAGTATCAAATAAATTTGGAATATCAGGGTAGTTCAGATTGCTTCAGAAATAACCATTTTAGGCTGTCTGCCTAAGATGTTGTGTTGTAAACTTTGTGTCTAGTACTTTTTGAGTCATTACTTTATCATATGCAACTGCACTGAAGTATGTTCTAGGGAGCAAAGCAATCAACATACATATACATAAGCATTCCAGAGAGCCTGGGTCATCAATGGATCAGGCTGTCCTAGAATGGGCACTCATAAAACCTTATCATAGTATATTCAGGCTCTTCAGTTTTAGGGAGAATCAGATGACCTGGAAGTAGGGACAAAATGTGTGATGACAGAGTTTACTAGTAGATACCAAGTTAAGCAGTGAGTTGATTTTGAAGAAGGAGGGAAGTAATGTACAGGACTCCGTGACTGGGCAGTAAAATGGTAGATGAAACAAGAAAAACCAAGCTGTTCTGGGCTAGTCATTAAAATCCAGGAAGGATGTTTTGCAATTTTAGTGGATAATGCCATGAAGAACTGCTCAGTGCTCAGTATAATTTGAAAAAAAAAAAGAAAAAGGGAATATTATAAAAGGAAGAGAGAACAAAACATCCATTGTACTACTGGAAAAAAGCAACGGATCTGTATTTTTAATACCATGGGCAGTTTAGTCTGCTCAACTTAAAAAGAGACCAAAACTAGAAAAGATTCAGAGAAGAGCAAAAAGGAATGGCCAGAGTTGGTGTACTAGAAATAAGTAAGTTGGCTGCAAATTTCCTGGCTGGGAAAGAAACAACTCATAGGAAAAATCCTGGTTTACATGGATATTTGGCCAGGCCCAGGAGGACTCTGTAGCTTCATTCAGATCAGTCTTCATTCCTGAATGGGAAAAAAATTCCTATACTGCATCATAGTGTGTGACAAATTTCATACTTTATTTTCTTCCTGTCCAGCCAGTTCTGGCATTTCCCTTGACAAATAGGGAAATCTTTGTAGAAAGCTATGTCATGAGGTCAAGATGACACCAGGTGAAAGGCTGAAATCTGGCATGCTTACTGATTACATTAATGAGAGTAATTATGCCAAGTCTTCTGTGAGAACAGACGATGGGAAGAGCCATGATAGCATGTGATGAACAGTTGCAGACTGCCCCTCATTTTCTTCATCTCAGATGAGTTGCCAAATGGGGCAAGCCCAACTCATTTATTAAGGGGTTTTGTGTCTCCTTTTCTTATGCACTGTGACTATATAGCCAGATTACCTTAGAAGGTATGTTTAATTCAGAATGATGAAGGCATATTATTAAATGGAAGGTATTTCTAGATGGTAGGAACTACCTCAATAGAAACTTTTCAAATCTAAGGTCTCAGGCAAACAGGTCTGAAAATTCCGTTCTTAAATCTTTCAGATTCCATCTTAAAAGTGAATTAGAAGTTCAATACAGAATGTCAGCATTTGATGGCAAAGAACAGAAGTTCATTCCTAGTGAGTGTACAACATTTGTTCTGTGACAGCGTTTTGGCTGTACTATCCCTTTCCTCTGAAGACCGGGATAGAATGTGGCAGTATATCTCTGCATCCTTCACCGATGACAGAGATGTTGGAAAAAGGCACAATATGCAGGCTGAATGCCTGTAGTTATCAGGCTGATCAAACCACACTGTTACAGTTTCTTTTTGTACAGATTGCCATAGCTGGTCTATTTTTGTAACCTAAATATATTTATGTTTTCCTCAAGATGGGTCTAACTTTCATTTACAAATGGGTGTAGATCCAGAGCTTCCTATATTGTTTTCCTTCTGAGGCCCCAGTTCATAGCAGAATTTTAAATTAGACCTTTCTTAAGTATCATTCCCAAGTGACATTCTTTTTACATTTTTCACTTTGAATAATGTTATTTACTGAAATTAATAGACTTCTCTTCTTTAAGAAAGTCCTGCTCTTCTTGTATGCTAGTTCTCTTAACACTGGCCAAACCTTGATTTTGTTGTTACCAGATTTCATGTTCACATGCTTACATTTCTGAGTCAGAGTCATTAGTGAAAGAACTAAATCTGATCACTCACAAGACCATTTCTGCAGAACACCAATAATGTCTCTTCTATCTTGTCCATTATCTTACAATGTCTTACAGTAAATTCACTTAACACCAGGTTCTTCACGCTTTTGTGGATGTTATGTCCTTACATCAGTGGAAAAAAATGATGATTCTGGTAACTAGAGACCTATTAGTCTGGTGGTGTTCTATTTGATGTGTTAACTGAGTTTTGAAAGGAAAAAAACTGAAAAAAATGTTGGCAAATCAGAAATTGGTAAATCAATATACATCTATTGACAGTGTCATGTAATTGTATAAAAGCATCACTAGTTTTCTAGACAAAAAATTATTTCTTGGCTTTCATATACATCTAACATGATGCTACATAAGCCAGAGAAAATCATTAACATTTACACTGGTGTTTTGTGAGTGGAATTAACTGTGAAGGCCCCTAGTTGCCCAGGTATTTTTTCGATTTTAACTGGTTCTGCACATCAGTAGTCATACTGTCGGTGGCCTTGGGAAATACGTTTTCCAGAATTTAGTGCATCCTTCTCCCATAAATACATATAATCCAAATGACCAACCTTCCTGAACAAAATAGAAAATTGTAAACAGTAGAAATACAGAAAATGTGATATATTTAGGCAATATATATTATCTACTCTTTATTAATCTCTTAATTATAATGTAGTAATATTGCTGAAGCATCGTGTTGCACCATGTCTTAGCATACTCTCCAAATTTTAACTTATATTTTGGTAATTCTCAGCATCTCACTCCTCTTCCTGACATTTTGCTAAGCTTTTCCTGTTTATCATCTCTCTAGTTCTTTGATATTTTTGAAAATTTAAATTTGATTGTCAATCCATTTAGTCTATCTTCTATTTTTCTTATTTGGGTTTTAAAATTCCTTTCTACCATTGACCTAATAAATGGGGCCATCTTGGATTCCAGTCCATGTGGTCTCGTGCTTCACTACTTACTTTGGGGTTTTAATTATTATTATTTCAGAAGTCTGTCTATTGGAAATCAGAGGCTTAGTAATAGATTAGTCTACATTCTCCTTTCATCTGAAGTAAATCAGTCCACAATTGCTATGTCAAAAGTTACAACTGTCTTACAGGGACTGTCCTGCTTACCAAGCCAAAGTCAAGACTACCACTAGTCTTGTGGGGTCAGCGATTATTTCGTGAATAAATGCAGCCATTCACAAATCCATGCCATTCACAGTATCACTTGTTCCTCGATCTCAGAAATTTCATATAGTACCGTAATGCTGATAGCAATTATTTGAGCTGGGATATTAATTTGCCTCTGGTGTAAGAACTGGTCATTGTTAGAGAACTGCAAGCTGACGGTACTTAATACTTTTCTAACACTTTGTAGCTTTGTTCCCCTTGTAAGTTCATACAAACTTCCCAGAATCATTCCTTTTAAACATGTTTAAAATACCGTAGGTCATCTTTCTGTTGCTACTGACACCTCTGAACTGTGTTTACTTGTCATTTCAGGAGGATGAGAAAGCTGTTCTTGGAAAGGTTATGGGGAAGCATTTACTTAGTGTAGTATCATCCCTGTTTGCAATTGTACCAAGGAAAAGATAAGTTCTTAAACATGGAACAGATTTCAGAGTCATCCAGTGTGGTTTAGATTACTGAAGGAGCAGTGGAAAGATATATACATATATGTGTCGATTTAGCTAGTTGTTGATCATGGTAATTAAAACTCTCCTGTGCTACATTAGCAGAGATGGAGTACAGAAGCATCTTTGCAGGCTGTTATCAAAACCAGTAGGGAGAGCCGTGAGTCCACTGGAAGGAGCAAAGGACATAAATCTTTTCATGTGCCTTCTGTGAAGTACAAATACGAGATTTTCTTGTACTGTTTACAAGGCCAAATACCAGGTGAAACAGAATAACACACTGTGTTTCACTCAGTCTTGTAATCTAATTCAGCTTGAAAAAAAAGAATTAGAGCAGAAAAACCAGCTCTAGGCCCAAACTGGTATAGGATGTTTAGCCCATTGATGTGATGCATATATCTAAACAGGGGAGGGTAAAGGTATGTTTAAATACTTCACTAAAATAAAGGATTGGAACTGTCTGGGATAATGCAGGGATAATGCAAACATTATTCAAAGGGTTTGGTGGTTTTGTGTAGTCTATTTTAGAGCAGGACAATTTACAGAATTCTTGAATTAGGAAAAAATTAATTACTAATATAATCTAGTATTGTATTTTAAACATGCAGGCATACAGAAACCACAAAAAAATTGTATGCCTTTTCATAACATAGAGAAGAAGAGTTTTACTCCATTTCAGTCAGGATGTGTATGTGAGTGAACAGAAATTGAATTCAAAGTTACTAACGGGATATAAAATTTCACACAGCTCCTGAAATTACTGCAGCCAGTGGCTTGTGATTATGTTCCTTGAGACAGATCTAACTTTTTTACCTGCTTGGATTTGATGGTTTTTACTCTGGAAAATGATTTCAAAATGTTGTCATATGCAGCTGACAGCACCTCAGACAGTATGAGAGAAATATATTACATCTTCTAAGTTACTAGCTTAACTTTTTTGGCTTATGTATTACCCTTTGGCTGTGTTCATGCTGTGATGAGGTGCATGTATTCTAAGTTGGAATGCCGTAATTGAATGCAACAAGTCTTCCAAATCTGCTTTGGACCCCATGTTTCAGTGCTTTGTTCCAGAATTGTGTATGCAAATATGTTTCTGCTAGGTAATGGAGCTGCCATCTTCATTGATTCTGTTTATATTTAATCTAAGTATTAAGAGCTGTGGAATACTGGGATGATGCCACTGTACTGATAGATCAGTAATGAAAAAGTAAGGATACCATTTTCTTTGGCAGTCTACTTCCTCCCTCCTCCCCTCCCATATGTACAACATCTCTCCAGTGAAGAGCTCTGAAATTTCCCTCAAGTTTTGTAGCCAGCTGTGAATTCAAACATGTAGTCTTCAGGTACTGGACAGAAAGGAATATATGTCAGTATTTCAAAAGTAGATAATTCATATGCTGTGAAATGTTAATACTGGATATGCACTAATGTTTCAGTTTAAGGGTACAGAAAAAGACTGTGTTACTTGACAATCAGGCATTTAACTTTTGTGCTATTAAGGCACTGGCAGAGCAATACTATTAAACTAGACAAAATTGAATTGCATCTGTTTGCAAATATTGGCCTAACCATCAAGACAAGAAATAGTAGAACCATAATTAAAATGGAAATATCCTTCATTTAAGGATTGGAAAAATCAGTTTGTTTAAAGTCCTGTGTAATAATTCGTGTAGTTAATTTGAAAACTCATTACTGTTTTAAGGAATTGCTTGAATTCTTCTGAACTTTACTAATTTAAGACACTGTTGTTATTTCTTTACCTTGAAGTGACATTCAACATGTAAAGTAAAAATGTAGCATAGGTCTCACTGGCTAATTGAATTGTACTAATACTTTTATTAAAATTCTAGAATATTCTTTTCTAGAATTCTGTTCTATTAGATAGGTGGAAGTGTTTCTGTTTATGAGACCAAGTGGATTGTATGTATAGCTGCTGTGAAAACAAAACAAGTGAAAGTGTATTATTTAATTTGAATATTGCTGTCACTTACCAAATAAAAGCAATTAAAAATTTAAGTATGTTTTTACTGTCATCAAGAAAATGAAATTTCTTACTTAGCATTGGGAAAATTAGACTCTATAACAATTTTCTTTGCTTCTTGTATTTGTTTTAACTAACTCTAACCTTCTTTTTTTCCTAGGAATTTATCAGGGAATATTTTTTCAAGTCTCATGAATGGACTGTTTTCTGAGCTGCTAGCTCTGAAAGCACTGTAAGTACCATTCCTTATGTTTGGAAATTTGAAATACTTGAGAAGGTAACTTAGAGTTGAGTATGAATTCAAACAGGATTGTTTCTAGCAGTGCATTCCAAATATAAATTCTGCATTAGTTTGTTATCAATGTCTGTCTCACAATTGATGAGCTTTCTCTTATACCTGTTGCAGGGAAACAGATAGCACTGACATCTCGACCCCATTCCTGACTAGCCCAGTCTAGACCTCCTGACTATCATCCCTATTTCTTTTTGTACTTTATGATCTTACACTTTTCCATGTTTTCATGCATTACATCATATAATAACAACTCTAATTACACAAAACTAGTAATGTTAAGTATTTTTCCTGCAATTATAATAGCGATTCCCAGTTACTGATACTAGTTGTACCTCCTTGAGTTTGAAAAGTGTATACTGGATGCTTCCGTGGTCAAGCTTCTACTTAAAGGAGTTTTTAGTAAGTGAAAGTAGATTATAGTATGATTTTCTACAGTAGCACATACTCAAATTTATTTCAGTAGTCAGTAACCAAACTCAGAATTTTGGCATAATGTCATGGAAACCATTGACAGTGGAACAATGTGTATTAGTTGTCTCAAAATATCTTTATATTTATACAGCTATAATTACACATCATAGTTACACACCTATCCAGAACTAGTTCTCTTTGGAGTTAGATAATTTGAATATAACAGAAGAAAGTATGTTTACGATAACTGCATGTGTACCAGTTGTGACTGTTCTTTGCCTTTCTAGACATTTCAACTCTGATTCACTCATTTGTGACTGTAATCTCAAGTGGGTCTTGCAATGGGCCAGAAATGCTTCAGTTCGAATAGCAGAGGAAACAGCTTGTGCTTACCCTAGTGCTCTACATGGACTGTCACTTTATAACCTGAAGGAAAACCAGCTGATATGTGGTGAGTTGTACTCTCATGTAGCATTACAAATTGAAGTAGAATCCAGAGAAAATATTAAAAACCAGACATAATGATGCAAAAAAAATCAGACTTGCTCATAGGCACAAGAAATTCAGGTATGTGACACAGAAAATACAACTAAGATTTAAAGAGAATGGAAAAAAATACAAATGTCTTATTTCACACAGAAGTGTGTGCATATCTATATCTCAAGAACACTACTTTCCTGCCAATATATTCAGTAATATGTAGTTATGACTTAAAGCATTAACCTAGGATGGTAGCTCTACATTGTATACTGCATGAAACTGAGGATTCCCACAAGAATTTATAGAATGTTTCTTTTAAGTTTTATATCTGATGGTGTGACATAAATAGTAGATTTCATTCTTGTATTTTTCATTTTTAGAAACGTGTAACTATATGTTTTAGCACCACATCCTGGGGATGAATAGAATTTTTACAGTGAGCTTCAGTTAGGTGAATTCTGTATTTGAAGATCAAGAAGTGAATTGCTTTTTGGAGAATATTTTCCACCCTAGCAAATATTATGAATTTGCTGTGAGGAAGGAAGCAAAAGTATATGAATGAGTAAAGAAAATTCATTTCACACTGAGCACTGTCTAGCAATGAGCAGACTAAACCAGAGATCTTAAAAGTGTCACATACTGCAGAGAAAAGATCATTTTCTAAGATGATGCTGGTGTGTTCCATAATCAGGAGTCTAGTTTCACACATTCTTGATTAATCACAGAAACTTTGAATCTATGACTTTCTTGAATGACAGAAAATTGCTGAGCTGGTGACTTTGATGACTTTGCTAATGTCTTATGCAAACAAAAGGAGAGTCACACATTTCTCCTAAAAACTGCAAGGGGAGTGATGTGTGTTGCTAACAAACACATTCGCAGCAGAAGGGAGATCAGAAGTTGACTGGAGCAATATACAAAAAAATTGTTTTAACAACAAATACAGATGTTTACAAGTCAAGAGAGATGTGAAAGCATGTGAATAGTAGCTACAGATGGTCCATCAGCTGAATTATTAAGGAAACACACATACAGATCTGAGACATTTCCAGTAGCCTGTGTTACTTAACACTTGAACTCTCTGCAACTCTTCTCAAACACCAAGGTCTCATTTTATAGAGAGCCAGCATGGGCATTTTCATAGAGGTTCATTTCCCAGCAGGAAAAGCACTACATCTGAAAAGGCTGGAATGATCAGAAGAGTGACCAAGGTCTGTTAGATTTATTTTACATTTTGATGGGAGAAAAAATCAGAATTTCTTTCTGTCAAATCTTTCTCGTGCATTTGATAACTCACGATAGCCAAAGTAGTGAGTCACCTGTTTGAAACAATTAAAAACTTGCTTGAGGGATTTTTATGAGTTAAAATAACTGCAGAGTTTTAGAATTCCCAGGGTTCTGCTTGTATATTTCACTAGCAGCTTTTAAGAGCTACTTAAATCTTCTGTCAGAAATGTTTGGCTATAAAATAGCTTTAGATGATGTTAGAAATAAGGCTGAAAAGTTAGTTTGATGACAAAGGATAGTTTCTCTTCTGCCTTAGTGATGAGGGACTGTGATGAATTCGTAATGGTATGGACAGAGCATCTTTCTGAAAAATTATTGTGAATTTGGCTTCATGCAGTGCCTTGTTAGTCTTTCTCTGTGACTTCAAATACAACTTAATTTACAGGAAGAAAATAACATTTTCCTGAATACAAGTGCTATTATTTCCACCTGAGGTTCGATAGGAGTCTGTGATTTTCCCTGGTGCACATCACCAGCAGAGATGGATTCTGTAGGCCAAATTTTTCCCTCAGGAAAAACCTGTATGAGTTTTTGTCTGAAGAGAATTATGAGAGATTGCTCTTGAAGCTGGGGTTCAATTATTTGCACTGATGAATTAGATATTAGAATTTAGTTTCCCAGTCTCAAACTGTATTGATGTTACTGAGCTAACAGCACTAAGAAGTAGAAGTGCAGTTGTTCTGCACATTACAATTGACATATAATTGGAGCATTTCTGCTAGAAAAACATTTCTGTTAGAAAACATTGATTCATCAAAACAGTGTTTGGAAAAGTGCTGACTTTCTTTTTTCCCCCAGTTAGATTTTATTTAATGTTTAGAAAGTAATTGACATAATACCAATAATATTTAGATAAATGATTTGGCTAAAGATGATGTAAATATTTACTAAATACTACAAAAATATTGCAAAGGTCAAAGTATAAAAATCATTTTATAGTGCTTTAACACATTCCTATTTATTTATTTATTTATTTATCTCCACAACAAAGTCAATTATCTAATTCTTCTGGGACCGAATGATGTTTCTAGTGCAAATCTCTTACAAATTAAAATCTTGCCTTTTGCATATAGATATGCTCCACAGATGTTTATAAATAAGTAATTGAGACTATGCTATTTTTGTAACTAAAAAAGAAATTGCTTTCAAAGAAAACATCTATTTTCTTGCTTAGAGTTTATTACCTTAATACATAATAAATTAAATTTTAATTTCTTAGCACTACGCTTTCTTTTTTTCTGGGAGTAACGCAGTTTTTTTCTTCTCTTGGTGTCAGGTTTTTTTCAAGTTTGTGTATAGTCTGCTGTACTGATCTTGATTATCATATTGTTGTATGGACCTATAAAGCAGTCAGGTTTAAAGAACCAGAGGTAGTATCTTGCAAGTTCTCAGAAAATCTAATGTAGAGAGGCATCTAGATTTTTTCCAAGTGATTTTGCTTCACTCAAACAGATGGTTTGCTATGCACACATTCACGTCACCTCATCACAGCACTTTCAGGCAGACTAGTGCTGCTGCATGTCACCTTTCATGTTGTTGTCCTTACCTTTCCTGTTCATCTGCTATGAGGCACTCTGGCAGAAAGCCTGATAAAGTAATCTTTAACAGTCTTGAATTCTGGGCTGCATCAAAAGTAATGTGGTCAGCAGGACAAAAGAGGTGATTCTCCCCCTCTGCTCTGCTCTCGTGAGACCCCACCTGGAATACTGCACACAGTTCTGGTGCCCTCAACATAAGAAGGACATGGGACTGTTGGAGCAAGTCCAGAGAAAGTTGATAAGACGACTGGAGCATCTCCCCTATGAAGACAGGCTGAGGAAGTTGGGGCTGTTCAGCCTGAAGAAGAGAAGGTTGTGTGGATACCTCAGAGCACCTGCCAGGATCTGAAGGGGTGCCAAGGAAGCTGCAGAGGGACTCTTTGTCAGGATCTGCAGTGACAAGACAAGGGGTAATGGGTACAAATTGAAAGAGGGGAAATTTAGGTTAGATATTAGGAAAAAGCTTTTTACAGTGAGTCACTGGCACAGGTTGCCCAGGGAGGCTGTGGCTGCCCCAACCCTGGCAGTGTTCGAAGCCAGGCTGGATGAAGCCTTGAGCAACCTGGTCTGGTGGGAGGTGTCCCTGCCCAGGACAGGGGGGGTTGTGACTGGATGATCTCTAAGGTCCATTCCAATACCTAAAATTCTATGATTCTGCTTTCATTTTTTTGAAGAAGCTTTCTTTTACCTTGGCATGGATTCTTAAAACACAATGTGGCTTTGAATGCTTTCTCAGCAATGGTGGAATAGTGTGGTTTAATGTTATATTTGTTGAAATCTTATAATTTTATCTGATGTAATTGCACATTGTTTTCCCTTCATCCCTAGCAGAGTAAGTCTCTCCACTGTCCAACAGTAAGAACTTGGGAAGAAATGCATACTTTTAAAATGCTAAAAATATATATATAAAGATAGGTCAATATTGGGGAATTTTGTCTTTGAAGGAAGACTTTTTCAACATATAAATTTAAACTGAAGTCAGCTGAATGCATTCAGCCTCATTCTGTGTCAGTTTTTAAGAATACTGATAATTATTTTGTGCTAGGGATAACTTATTTTGTACCAAGTTTTTGAAATGTCAGTTATTTTGTGCTAGGGTTGAGAAATGAGATTTGCAATTCCTTTTCTCATATGGTGCCAAAAATTAAATATCTACATTGCTATTCAAGTCTTAATATGACAATTATATATATATGCGCAAAGACTATTCTTAAAAGTTTCCTATGTAATATATATTGCAGTAACAATTACTGGGTCAGAGTTAATAAGGATCATTTTTTTCTTCATTTATTTCTCTCAGTCTACACAAAATATTGTTTTGGACTCATTTGTCGTTTACTTAAACTTAGGGATGGGCCTGAGATTATTGTTTCAAACATTTCTTTCTTCATTTACAAATTATTCTTACTACATGAACACAAGTTAAATATTGAACTGTGGGGATTTTTCAGTTTGTAGTAACTGACTAAGCCCAAAATCTCAAGTATGAAGAATGATGGATTAATGATCCAGATTTAGATTGCAGTCCTGGAGTTTCTTGGCAGTCCACAGATAGCTTGCTGCATTCATGCAGAGATTCATTGTCTACAAGAATATGCAGGATCAAGACTTCAGCTCCACTTTCTGCAGGGAGTGCCTAATCATTTGAATAGGTCTAATTATGTTGAAATAGGAATATTCACATTAGTAACCCTTCACAGGATTAGGTTTTGCAGGACATGGATAGTGAAGCAATTAGTGGTATTTAAATCCTCTTCCAATTATTTCTGTTTTACAGTGTTAACAATTCAGGATTTTCTTTAATAACAGAAGATGCACAATAAAAGAATGTCTGTAAATCAAGTAGTGTAACTGTATACTTTGGATCTTTCAAGGACAGATGTGGTAGATTCATTTTATGTCAAAACAAAGAAACTGTTTTTTATATCAAAGTTGGTTTCCATACTATCATTTGGTAGTATGAAACGAACAATGCTTTAACCTTTTGGCTCCAAATTCTAGATTTCTCATTCCAATATGATCTGTCTCAAAATGGGGAGAAAGAGGAATATGTTGCCTTACATTTAATATTAAACATTCTCTAGTATTTTAGTGGCAATTTAAAATACTGCTGCAGGGTTGGGGGCACAAAATTAGTAACAGTTCA